AACAATTAATCTTTATTCTTAAACTCTACGCTTATTGTAACCAATATATTGTAACCAATGTAACCAATAAACTCTACGCTTATTGTAATCAATATATTGTAACCAATGTAACCAATAAACTCTACGCTTATTGTACTACAATTAACAATTATCTATAATATGAATAGTATGATGAAATTTATAATACGTCAATAGCATAAATAAATTTGAAAACACATCACTACCGAAACAAGTTTTAATCGCAGCAATAAATGTTCAGAATATGTGGATAAAGAATTATAGTGTTTATCATCCTTTATCGTTAATATTTATATGCCAATGATAATAGATTCATAAACATCAAGCATATTACAGTAAATAGAAACCCATATTTATTGCTAATATAATGATAATAATAAAAGATAGGAATAAGAATCACCGTGAAACTAACACTTAGCTTTATTCTGAATAATATGCTATATATTGTATTAATGTCTATATAACATAAAAACAGTATGGTCTAGCACAGTTTTCCATTGTTTTCGGTGCATTTTTACTAGTCGGAAAATCAAATGATACTATCCAATTTTCCCATATTAATGTCCATATATTTTTGGTTGTCTTCAGGCCAAAGTTATCGTTTTCCAATAAAAAAAAATTTGTATCCCTGATTTAAAGGTTTAACCTGTAATATCAATTTTTCTTATTTTGCTCCGTTACGTTTTTGATTTTAATTGTTTTCTAAATTAAGAGTTTAAAACTAAAAGAGTTCTTTAATTATTTTAATGTAATTCTATGATATAACCGTAATACGCAACAAAATAAAAACTTATGTAAGTCAGCGTCAAAAAAAAAATTATTTACCGTTTTACAAATTTTTTTTTATTTTTTTTTTGGTGCAAATTACACATATATAGTGTCACAAATTACAGTTTATAAAGCACCAATATTTTAGGAAAGTTCGTGGGTTCGGTCCCCACCGGTAGAAGACTCCCCGTGTAGTNCTACGGCGTTGAACATTAGTAGTCGTAAACCCAAAAATCGGGCTAGCTGTTCAATGACGGTTATAAAATAAAATACTTGAGCTAGGAGTTTTCTTGTCCTCTGGACTGGGTTCTAAATTACAAGGCTACGGCGTTGAACATTAGTAGTCGTAAACCCAAAAATTGGGTCTGATGTTCAACGGCTGTCATAAAATAAAATAAAATATTTTAGGAAACTAGTCTTAAAAGTGGATATCACAAAACAAACTAGGAAGTATAAAACCTTTGCACTTAAGACATGGAATGACATAATTTTGCAAAAGAAAATTAATACTGAATAAAATTTTATTTGAGACATTTTAAAATATGAAAATCTCCTAACGTTGATTTTTAACTTATTCTTTAAGTGACTATTTCCTCAAGCCAGTTGAGATAAGAAAATCATTTCAATGTATAGTAAAAGAATTATAAGAAACATTTGGATTCATTATTTCAAGTTGAAATACCTCCGCTTTTCTTTCTTTTCTCTTTTTTTACTTACGATCAATTATGATTGATAAATTATGTAAGTAAATAAGACTAAAATGCTACCTGCTATCAGTAATTTTTGGTTAGTCGGGCACAAGCGAAAAGTTGTCACAAAAATTTAGATATCAACCACTTTTTTTATTGTTTTTATAATTCTTTTAGCTTCTTTATTTTTTTTTAAATGGTAAAGAAAGGAAGTTCGGAAACAAGCAAAATTAAATAAAAAGGTTTTTTAAAAAAGATTTTTTTTTTAATTATTCGAATTTCCTTGAGCCTGGCTATAACCAAAAAGTACCAATTTTTAATACTATATTTTATAAATTTTAAATGTATTAAATTATAGTTTTTGTAATATTTGATACAACTATAAACATCATATTTCAACACCATTTAGTGAATTTTGTTCATTATTTAAACTTTTTTTAACATTTTAATGTAAGATTGCAAAATAACTGTCAAACAAAATAACATCAGTCTGTTATAGAAATGTTAGCGTCTGGTCATGTTATAAGTTATTGCTTCTCCATTTCAATTAAAATTAAATAAATACTATATTTTCACTAAATATTTTTATAATAATTGCACGTTTTTTCCTATGCATCACTTGCAAGTTCATGTTATCCGATTTTTTTTCAAATGATGATTTATTAAAAATATTTATAGGAAATTTTTATAAAAAGTTAGACAGATTATTTTTTATTATAGTGAATCCATTTTTTTTCTTCAATGACTTTTGACAACTTAGTGAAATTGAACAGTGCAAAAAAAATGAACCACCCTGAATAACTTTTGATCTAATGATCGGATCTTCACGTTCTACAACTCAATCTTAATATTTCGAGGGAGTGACCTCAAATATGCTACTTAATTAGAGCAAACGATATTTTAAGTTACGAAATCAGACACAAAAACTAACTTTTTCTAAATAGACATACTTTTTATACAACAGATTCAGATTTCTGATTCCCTAAATATAGCCGCAATCTAGGAAATATGGTGCTAATAGTTAAGTCAGGAAGGTGGTTCAGAGTTCGGGCAGCTTAATGTTAATTTTGTTTACATTACAGAGTTAATTAAGGTTAACTTTATTTATATAATACTTAACGTTAATTTTATTTACATTAATCACTATATCTCGAGAATTTTTTAAGCGAATTGAAAACAAAATTTCACAAATATAAAATTCATTTATCCAATGATAATTCCATTAAAAAAATAAGTTTTAGTAAATATTTACTGTACTTTATTAATATTTTAATTATAGTACAAAAATTTGAATTTCAAGGTCTATAATTTTTACATCATTTTAAAGAATGTAATTTTACATATCAAAATTCTAAATTCAGCAAAATTTGTCGAATAGTTCCTGAGAAATCAGATTTTAAAAATGTCTTAGTTTTAAACTTTTTTGCTCACTGTGCAAACAAAAATTAGTTAACAGTGTGGATTTAGCAACAATGTGTTCATATTAATAAACGTAATATTGCAGACTGGACCCCGCTGTTAAATTGTTATAATGTGTTGAGCATCATTCTGTCGTAATATACATGCTCCACAGTGAACAATTTTCTGTAGCAATGTCACTTTTTTTTCGAGAAAAATTGAAGGGGCCTCTGTACAGCATTACTACCAGTTAATCACTACCTGAAAAAAATATTAATGGAAAAGCTTAAACAACATAATTTTTAAGTTATTTCAAGTTTTTTCTGGTATCTTCTGGACTTTTCAATTAAATGCGATAAGTAAGAGAAAAAAATATTAAGCCACTATATGCTAATTTTTATTTAAAGACGACATTATGATTGTTTTATAAGGAAATTTATACAATTATTGAAAAAAGAATTAGAGAATTAGAAAAAGAAATAAGGAATCTATAGAATTATAAAAATACACAAAAAATAGTTTTCTATTATAATGAGTGAAAAAAACTAACAAAGCACTGTAAAAATTGCGTATCATATTAAGGTATAAAGTACCGACTCTTTGAGTGCATCATCCATAAAATCCATTTTAGCATTCCTTTTTACTGTAAAATAGTATACCGTAATTTTTACAGTAATATTCAAATACAAAGAGTTATTTAGTGATTAAACGTAAGAATATTTATATAATTCGAGTGATTCAGTGATTCTACTATAAATATTACTGCAAAAATTACGGGATATCAGATTTTTTGTTCCTTTACATGCTCCGGTAAAAATGGATTTTGCGGTAAAAGTAACGCCACCTTGAGTGCTGATACTTTGTCCCGTTATTTGATCCGAAATTTTTTATAGTGCAGTTTCCTAGCTAGACGATAAAAATTTTAATGACGTAAGTGACGTGTATTAGCTATTTTTCAAGATTTTTTTTTTGTGTGGTACGTCATTCAGACGAAAAATATATAGCTGAAATTTCTCTCTATCTGGTAAAAGAATTATTCTGTTCATATTCTTGGATCGTTTCATTTGCTGCTTTTATATAAATAGAGAACTAAAATTAATAGCTTGATCACTTATAAACTTGTTAGTTATGTTCTTTGCTAAATAGTGGACACTGACTGTACACACTGTACAAGCCTCATTTTCATTGTCATCTTTTATCCTTAAGTTCAAACTACATTGGATTTATTGGCAAAAGGTTTTGCCAGTGAATGGCACTTTCATTTTTGTTTTGCATACTTTATTATCATGGAATAAGCTATATCCATACCAAATTTCATTTATTTATATTCAGTATTTTTTGAGATATTTGGGAAAATGTCTTTTATCTCTTAATTTTGTCGATCAGTGTATTTTTACACACAATTCCGTTTTATTTGGTGCACTAGTTTTTAAGTTATCCACGAGTATCGTCATTTTTGTTATTTTTTGATGTTATATATTGCTATAAAATTTAATTCAATTTGGTGCACTGGCTATTGAGTTAAGCGCCAAAAAACTATTTGTTGAGTGTATATGATAGGTTAAACAACGCTTCTCTGGCTTTGCTTGTAGACTAAAAAATTTCTGGAATAGTTTTTAAACTGACCATATATTCTAGACCTTGCATTACATGATTTATATTACTATGTCTATATAGTGCGCAAAATATAAAATGAAATGGACTTAGTCACTTTAGTTAACTCACGGAATGTTAACTTTTGATTTAATGATAGGAATTTTACATACTAAATGAAATCCTAATGGTTATAGACCTTAAATATGCCAATTTATTAGTACAGATAATATTTAAAGTTATGAAATGACTTTACGACTTTATCTGAATAAATATGCCTTTTTTCGATGAGTTCAGGTTTTTGACTGTCTAAGTACGGGCACTCGCACACGATATAGAAAATATAGTCCCAGTAATTTAGTCAAAATAATCAAAAGTTTGTCCCCTTTAGTCCTAATTTTAGCGTTTTTGAATTTCACTAATTCTCTAAAACTATCTACACAAAAACTAATTGCACAAGATAATGTAACTTTTTTTTCTGAAAATTTACAGTGGAATTTTTCCTTTATCAATTTTCTTTTAGAGAAAAATACTTACGCATTCAAAAAAATTAGATTTCTCTTTCTCGTTGATATGTTTCTAATCTTCAGATACTGGACTTTCTGATGCGGGACTTTCAGATACCGGTCCCATTATCATTTGCCTGACAAGTTCACTGAAAATCTGCAAAAGAAATAAATTTTAATGAGATATATAAAAATCAAATACACTAAAACACAAATCTCTCACTAAATAAATCCGACTCTACTCATCAAGAAAAATTTATCGTTTCGTTAAAAAAAAAAAAAAAAAAATTATAACAAACGTTACGTACAAAAAAAAAATTCTAAAGTATGTAATGAAAATTCATATTGTTAATTAATCCGTAATTGATACTGCAAATAAGAACAGATTTTCAGAATGTCTTGAATGAACTAAAATATATTATATACTAAGGGTTACAAATGTACATTTAACTGAGAGAAAGGAAACAAAATTGAAATCACAATCTTACGAGGTGTAACCGAAAACAATAAAAAAAAGAATTCAATTATAAGAAAATATTAATTAAATAATCAGTCTGAATTAATTTAAAGGCACCCACTTTTAGTTAAAAAACACCATTTTCAGTTTTATACCTGAAGTAAAGTGTTTTGATTTGTCAATGATTTTCATTGTGATTGACTTCGGTAATGCTTCGCCAATTTTTACGCATTTTTTAATCTTACTTAAATATTAATATTTAAAATCCCAATGTAATTAATTTATTAAAGAGATTTCCGTCGCTGCTTGTTTTATTTATTTTTTAATTAACTATAGCGTTATTAAAAACCAATAAATGCACCAAAGGAAATATTTCAGAATAATTTAAAGGAAATTAATATAATTAACAAGAAAACTTCAAACACTTTATAAAAGTAATAAATTACAGTCAGCATGATTCGAATGTGTAAACACATGAAATACAATAGTTTTCTAAACTAATATTTGATACAGACCTCGCTGAAATTAATATCGTCTTTAGCAGATGACTCTATGAAAGTACAATTGTTAAATAACTTAGCTAAGTTAGCAGCTTCATCTTGGCTGATCTCCCGTTCATCTTCCAAGTCACATTTGTTGCCCACTAAAATTATTGGTACCTACAATACATACGCACCTGAATCAATAAATACGCTGACTATCATAATTAAGAAAAAATTACAGAAATGACCATAATTCAAAACGTTACGCATAAAATTTTATGAAACTGACACACATTATAGAACAAATACATTTACCCGACATTTAAAAAAAAAATTGGGCCTTGGCAAAAATTTATAAGAGTGCTTCGATGATTCGTATCAGATTTTAAAAGCGACCTGGACAATCTTTGTTTTTATTAATTAAATATTTCTGAGTATGTGGGTAAATAAAGGAATGTAAGACTTCTTTATGAACAAAACCAAGAGCTATGGAAAATACCGGATGTCTTAAAAATGCCTTATGCAAATCGATTTTTAAAAATATAGAAAAGAAAAAAAGGAGAAAAAAATAGTGCATATAAAGAAAATCCGGATTAAATCACTGTATAAAGTACCGACACTTTGGGTACGTCATCCGTAAAATCCATTTTTACCGTAAAATCCATTTTTACCATAAAATCATTTTCTACCGAATCTATTTTTATCATAAAATGTTGTCTTATGAAATGAAAATACAAACATGTAACTATAATAGGAGATGTAAAGCTTTGTATTGTGTAGCCATCTTTGGGCTTTCATGTATTTTGCTGTTTGGTTTCTAAATAAATGCCACACTGGAAAGCTCGACCGTCCTGCGCCAATGGGAACCTGCGCCTCCTTTCCAGAGGTGACTATCGTGGCGACTAGTCAGTTTTTCCCTTCTGCCACTTTTTTTTTTGGGGGGGGGGGTGAAATAATTTTACCATAAAATGTTATACCGTAATTTTTACAGCAATCTTCATGAGTCATTCAGTGACTTTAAGGTTATTATTACTGTAAAACTTACTATATATTAGATTTTTTATTCCGTAACATGTTTCAGCAAAATGGATTTTACGGTAAAAAGTATCGGCACTCTGAATGTCGGTACTTTTTACCGCAATTTAATCCTAATTTTTTTTTTTTTTTTNTACCCATGGTTAATAAAGATTGTTTCGTTTAGCTTCGGAAGCCAGTTATTTTGTTCTCCTAAAGTTTCAAAATTATCTCCAAAGTTCTTCAAGAGATAGCGCTGGTTACTCAGAAAAACTATTAAGAACTTTTTTCAAAATAATCGTTATTTTTATTAAGTCTGAAAAATAATTAACAGTTGTTTGCCCAAATATTTCAATTGGAACGGTCTCTCAAGCCGCAAAAAAAAACATTATTTTACAGTTTTTTTCAATTAACATAGCCATCTGGTGAGAAATGTTTCATTATTTTGAAAATTGGTAATAATAAAGTAATTAGCTTTCTAAGCAGAGCACAGTAAACCGTATATTCCTTTCATTTTTTTTTTCAAATCATTGGTTAATTTTGAGTTATCCAATTAGTTTAGAACAATAGGAAATCAATAAATTAAGGAAGCAAACGAAGTTAAATTTTTTCAAGCAGTCATATCCAAATATATATTTTCAAAACTAAACCACCTTTACACTTACATCATCTCTGCCTTTCATTCTTAATACCTGTTCCCTTAAATCTTGCAAGTCATTGAAAGTGGACTTATCTGTTAAGGAATACACGAGAACAAATCCCCCACATTCTTTGGTAAATTCTTTGCAATTTTCACTGAAATTTCTCTGAAAAAAATAACATATTTCAAAAACAAAATAGTCTGCCTTATATTTATATCAAAGCTAACATTTTTATCGTTACGAATTTAGAAAATTAAACAAATATAGCTAAATAATTTTCAAGAAAAATTCCGATTAAAATATTCAAAATTACAAGCTTATGAAAACAATATGCAAACATCATATTTTATGATTACCATCGGAATAAAAGCAATATTAAATTCAAAAGTCTAATTATGAGAATTTTTTGCATTCAACTAAAATATAATTGGTCGAAAATTACTAACTAGTTTATTATAAAACAATCTTAAAGAAACTGCTATAAATTGAAAACCCAAATGATTAGTTTAGGAAAAAAAGTATTAGAAAGGGAGAATGTGGGATAGTGTTGATATTGGGCTAAAAGGGACATATTCAATAATTTTTCGAATTACAATATGCGTGAATTTGTAACAATGGGGAACACTTCCATGAACAGTTGCTTAATCACGCTGTAAATATTTTAAAAGAAATTTTCTTTTTTGATCACGGATAGCCAGGTCGGTAGGGCGCTGGGCCCATGTCCGAGAGTTCGTGGGTTTATAACCCCACCGGCCCCGTGTAGTAAATGGTGACTGATGTACGTTAAATATGTCGAGTCGCAAAGTCCTCCATGTTCCCATAACAAATCAATACCTCTGGGGGTACTGGATTGGAGATCGATCGTTCTCTGATTCATGCCAAAAGTACGATCTGTGGATGAATGAATGAATGGATGTATGAATGGGTCCGCCCTAAATACGGGTGTGACGTATGGTGTGGCAGAAATCGAATTCTTGGCCGTAGATGGCGCCACTGGAAAACAAAAGCAATCGTACCCCTCTACCTAAACAGGCATAAGTAAGCAAGCAAGCAATAGAAAATTTCTAAAGTGCAAAAGTAACTTTAAAAATTTCTCTTTACAATTTTAATAACGTATTTATTTTCTGAATTTCAATTGAGGGTGATAATATGTTATAAATAATACTGTTTTTTACCTATTTTAATATTAACTTTTGCTCTGCATAATTTCAAATAAACAGCAATATATGTCTTCGTAGATGCATGGTGGTAGGGCTGCGAACAAGTGAATTTTTCATTTAAAAGTTAGCAACTTTAGTTTTGTTTTCTTTCTTAAACAGCAATGATATCTTATCGAAATAAATGAATTGAAACTTCTTTGACTAAATAAGGGTTAATGATTCTGTGCTAGTCAAGTTTTTTTATTAAAAAAATTTAAGAACAGTGTTGTGCATTGTTCTGGCAAAATGGAAGTTGTTTATATATTTGCAGATTATGATGCTCAATTCTTAAGAAAAGAAGATGGATATAGTTCTTCTAATGATGAATCTTTCGTTTTTGAGGAAGAAAATAACATTTCTCAAATCTCAAATGAGTAACTAGTTAACAAACTGCCATTACCAATAAGCAAAACTAAAAGTACTGCATCTCGATACACATTTTAAGTTGGCATTTTAATTTTCTTTTCATAAATTAAGAAAAATTCAAAATATTTATCAAATAATGGTTTCTAAATTCGATGATTTACGTTTAAAATGTCTTTCTTAGTATAGCAAAATGCTCTATTACGAAGTCGCATTTTCATCAATATAAGGCAATATTTATTCTCCAATAAGGCTTAGATTAAAATGAGTTTTAATTTGGCTTAAATACACCTTTCTGAGCTTACTTAACAAGTTGTCAAGTTGGTCCATCCTAGCCCCATAGCTCGCCCACACCAGCCCCGTGTAGTGGGGCACTGCAGTTTTTCTTCAGAACTGAATTAGTTTTGTAGTTATTTTTTCAGTGAACTGCAGATTTTCTATAGTGCAATCTTAACTGTAAAAACACTGCAGTTATTTTGCAGATAATGTGAAATAATTTATCAGTAATTTGTTTCTTAAAAAAAACTTTTAGCTATTGTCTGCAAAATTACTATAGTTTAAGTGAAGTTACTTTAAAACCATAAATTCAAAAAAAAACTGAAACTTTAAATCTGTGATTATTTTGCAACAAATTTGGAGCAGTCATTCTTTCAGAAGTATATTTTCTGATGAATCTGCAGAAAAACTACAGTTGCATTGTATTGTTGTAAAATTGAAAGTCTTCGATGTCTTCAATCTTGCTTTCCTCGTTGATAATTAAATCTACTTTTTATAATGTTAACGTCTTCTTTTCTTCTTTTTTTTTATTATATATTAATTTCCTATCTTTAGGTAAAAATTCTAAACATATGTATTGATCTAAACTTATGTGTTGATAAAAAAATAAAAAAATTCTAACAAATAGAACATTCCGTAGTATACAAGGGAAATTTGGTTGAATAATCCGCTAACCCGGATGAATTTTCTCAAATAATTCACTATAAAGGGAAATTTTTTTTTCGTGATATATACGACAAATTTGATTGAATAATCTGCTGTCCTGGGTACAGTTTGTCAAATAATTCACTATATGAGGGAAATTTCATTGAACAAAAAACTGAACAGATGATATTTTCTCAAAGAATCCACTATTTGAGGAGATTTAGTGAAATAATCTGAGGAAATTTTTTCATGTTGTTCCCCATTTTTAAGCAATTGAATAAAATTTGAAGATTTTGGTTTATCCCTTCTGAGATACCATGGTTAATAAACAAAGTACATTTCTAAGAAGAAATTTCCCCTAAACATCGTTTCCGCTTGAGAATCTGAGGAAGTAAAATACTGATAGTCACAATAACTCACATTGCCAACAGCATCCAGAATACTTAGCAGGTACTGTTTTCCATCTATGTCTCTTAGCTGTAAATATCAACAACAAAAAATAGTAATTGAGTTACGTAAACAAATAAAATTTATAAATAACAGTACAATAGTTCTTTATCTTCAAACATTCTGCATAAAATATAACAATTACATAAAATATTTGGGCCGTAATTTTTTTTTCTAATTTTGATTTCTTTAACCGAATTAATCTTTTAACTCACCGACAATGAATTTAACTGAGAATCGGATCTGATTACTTTTCCCTCAGAAAACCAGTTTTTCGCTCTACAACAATCATAGCACAGCAGGGAACTCAGTGAACAAATATTTTCCAGTAGCGTAACAGTTATCTTTGTTATGAATACATGTATCAACTTTGTATCAAAATTTATGTCATAACAAAATGTATGGATACACTGTGTATCAAAATGTCTATAATAATGTATCAAAATATATGTCATATCAAAATGATTAAATACACGGTGTATCAAAATGTATGTCATATTGAAATGTCTGAATACACTGTGTATCAAAATGTCTATAATGTATCAAAATGTATGTCATATCAAAATAGTTAAATACACGGTGTATCAAAAGGTATGCATCATGCATCAAAGTGTATGTCATATAAAAATGGTTTAATACACAGTGTATCAAAATGTATATCATATCAAAATATAAGAATACACGGTGTATCAAAATGTATATTATCGTACTCTATGGTAATGACATTTAAGACTTAAAAAAAAAAAAAAAGCGAATAAATGTTTTTTGTGCCAGGTTCTAAAGCATCATGATAAAATAACCAGATTTCTTTTCCCATTTACCAAATTTTATCAATTATTATAAAATTATATTTTACTATTAATTTTACCAAAATCATTACCAAAGCACTTCGGAAAAAAGTACCGAGCTTTTTTGGTGTTACCATCATACAACCAAAAATACGATAAATTTTATCATATTCTGGTTTTTCTAATAATACTTTTTGCCTCAAAGTTAGAGGTTTGAGCCGCTATGATACCAAACATACTTTACTTGAACTATAAACTACCCTTTTTATTTATAATTTTTTAAAAAGTAAAATCTCTTCAAGCCTCCTTATTTGGAAATGGTGTGACCAAAGGGATAAACTGAGTTATTAAAATGTAGAGATAAATAATTGAGTGTCTAAAAATGAAGATGCGTTAAAGTTATAACTGTCCAAAAAAAATCATACATTTGTTTACTGATGAAAAATAACAAATTTGAATCTAAAATGTTAAATTAATTAAGTTTCAATCAATAATCAGTAATATCTGAATATAATTTCCTTCACAATTTTGTTTGTTTCTCATTCACCTACTTTGTACTTTATGAAAAATCGCAGAAATTAATTGCTCTGGATGTTTGAGTACCAGTGCTACAAGCTTGCAGAAAATGTAGGGGACACAGAGACAAATCAAAATCAGATAGCATTGATAAGTTATAGATTGCTTTCTATGCGAAGCACAGTTAAAAGAAGAAATGAAAAAAATATCAGACACAACAAAATAATAGCGTGACAGAAATCACTTTAATGACAAGTTTTACTTTGGCAAGCAACTGCGTACTACAAAAAATGTTTATAATTCAAGCCAGAAGCAGTCACATTAGCTTCTCAATGGCGCTACATTAAACTCCTAATGTTCTGAAAGATTCCTGGTGACATGTTTCGCCACTTCTAACAACTACAGACATACAGCAATATGTTCCTCAGCTGAATCTACGGCGTCTCGAACATCAAAGCCTTGATCCCTGTAGGAGCAGTCCTAACATGCGAGGTCCGAAGATCTCCCAGGCCAAACAGGATCACTACGATCCACCCAACACTGTCTCGTCTGCTTTATCATTTGCGACTGCATATGCAAGGCATTTGCGACTGCATATATATCCCAAAAGCTCAAACTTTCGCTATTTTTTTTTTCTTTCTTTTTTTCGTAAAAGACACCTTGATGCTTCGTGAATGATCACGAAACAATTAATGCCAACGGAGATTCTGAAAATTCAACTCGATTATAATAATAAATATTTTATGCGAATAATTAACAAAAAATTTAATAAAACACCTCAAAATGAAAATTTAATTTTCTCACCAGATTGTAGTCATCTTCCAAATCTCGAGCAAGTTTTTCATGAAACTCTTGATACCCATACCGAATCACCTAAAAAGTTTTAAAGTAATATTAAATCAGATTGCAAAAATTGTTTGAAAAATCATGATAGTAGTATACAGAATGTCCGAAAGGTAGGAAAGTTGCTGAATGTTTCGGAAAATATGCACTGGATCAAGGATCTAAAAATATGAGTGGAAATATTTTCAAAAAATGCATGCAATGACAGATTAAACTCCACCACTCAATCCCACCTCTCAGGAATGAAGGGGGACACTTTAAAACTAGAATGGATGCCCGCATTTTTTAGTACAGATGTGGATTCACCAGGAAGAAGTACCTCCATTTGATCTACAAGTTTTTATCTGGCACCTGAATTCTTTTATTACAGATTTAGATTCACCAGGAAAAAGTACCTCCATTTGATCTACAAGTTTGTATCTGGTGCCTGAATTCTTTTATTACAGATTTAGATTCACCAGGAAAAAGTACCTCCATTCGATCCACAAGTTTGTATCTGGTGCCTGAATTCCTTTATTACAGATTTAGATTCACCAAAAAAAGTACCTACATTTGATCTACAAGTTTGTATCTGGTGCCTGAATTCTTTTATTACAGATTTAGATTCACCAGGAAAAAGTACCTCCATTTGATCTACAAGTTTGTATCTGGGGCCTGAATTCTTTTATTACAGATTTAGATTTCCCAGGAAAAAGTACCTCCATTTGATCCACAAGTTTGTATCTGGTGCCTGAATTCTTTTATTACAGATTTAGATTCACCAAGAAAAAGTACCTCCATTTGATCTACAAGTTTGTATCTGGTGCCTGAATTCCTTTATTGCAGACTTAGATTCACCAGGAAAAAGTACCTCCATTTGATCCACAAGGTTTAACATTTTATTTCACAGATTACTACGTAAACAACCCCCTCATCCACACTCAGGCAAACCCCTTAGAACTTACATGGGGTGGAACAAGGTTCAAGTTTGAAGTTATTAAAGAAGTTTTTCATAATCAAATCATCGATGACATCGATGGGTACTAGCCTATCTAGGAAGTAAAGTAGCAATGCTACTTTACTTCGGCATATTGCCACAATCATGCCGTTGATCATGAAATTGAGGAGCCGTAACCTCCATGACCCCCTGACCCAAAACGGGCTGATGAGCAAAAGATTTACTTTTTATTTCAAAATGTTAAATTCGTCCATTTTTATTTCACCGATCTGATGTGTATTTCTTGAAATATTGCTCTTTAAAAACTTTTCGAGACGCATTTACATTTGGCGATTACTGTACTATCTGTGAACCAAAATTCAAAACTTATTGATCGAGAAACTTTTCAAGCGAACCGAAGTCTTCAAAAAAAGGGGGGATGATTCCAACTTAAGATTTTGAAGCTGAACCCACAAAGGGTAAGGTTGGGTAGTCAAGTTTAATATCATTGAATTACTGTATTAAAAAATTTTGACAAAAATATTTTTAGATTTTTGATCCTGTGTGTATATTTCTAGATATTATGCTTTTACTTTACAGATACAGACTTTTTGAACACCCTATGTAAAATGCAGTGTCTGAAAAATGAAGGGAAATTGTAAAAATTACATTTACTCGTACTATATAAATTATTAATAAAATAATTAATAAATATATTTATAAACTGCAATACCCACAAACTGAACAAAAACGTAAAATATTTCCCTTCAATCGAATTCTTTTCTTTTTCATTTTTAAATTTTATGTAAGTTTTTAGTGCGATAGAGATAATTAGACAGTAAATTTAGTGACCTGAAGGGCAATGTGAACAAACTTCTACCATAATTGCCCCAACTAAATATCATTTTAAAATTTAAAATGCATATAAAAATCAACACATACCATTCCTCTATTCACATTGTAGCAAATATGAGATATAAGAGGAAGGTTTGGAAAGGTTGGAAAGATATAAGAGGAATGTTTGAAGACGTATAATAAGTAAAATAGATCCCGGATTTTTCTATTATTATTACTATCCCTAGGCAATAAACTTGAGATATATACTCTGTTCTCCGTAATCATTGCCCGCGTATATTTTTAGAATCCTTGTTGAAAATTAAATGAAAAGAAAACGCACATTAAAGGTTGCAGTAAAAGAGTAATTTTAAAATAAAAAATATGTCTATAATCACTGCATGCCCTAAAATACTGAGATAACCCCTGTAATACATATTTGATCACATTGTCATATCTAAAATATGAAACAAACATCAAGAATTATAACACCTAACTAACTAAAATATTATAAACAATTAAATTTGCTTATTACTCACAATAGAAGATTTTCCAACACCGTCACTGCCGAAAATCGCGATTTTATGTTGTGTTCGCATTTGTTAGAGGAATGAAAATTATCGCTCAGTACCTGAAATAGTTAAGAGAATTAAGTGCAATCAGATCAAATACAAAAAGATTAATTTAATTCTCTTTTTTTGTGCTGGTTAGGTTTGAATAAAAAACGATAAAATTCATTTTTGTTGCATTTCAAAATTCATGCATTCTTTAAATTTTACAAAGGAGAATTTTTTTATTTAATCTGCTTAAGCAATGAAAAGCATTTACTACTTTAATTTACTTTTATTACTATGTCAGCAATACATGAGGCAAAATTAACGACCACTACCAGTCGTAAGACGACTAAATATGAAAGAGGGCGTTTAAAACTTGGTTTGTTAATTCGCCACTTTTTTTCCATGAAAATGCTCAGCTCTAATCATCACCGGAACGGCTGTCTGTGCAGATTATTGCGCAGGAAATGCGCACTTGGCGAAGGCTTTGTCTGTTTATTTGTTTTCTCATTTATATGTTCGGAAATTGTTTCTCTTGTATTTGTCGAAAACACACAAAGAGTCGCGGTGGCTCAGAGGGTAGAGCTTCCGCCTCCCAATGGAACAGCTAGGTTCATATCCCAGCGGTGGCTGGTTATATATATA